CTGACGTCACACTACGTCCACGCGAAAGATAGGGCGCTTTTGCGTTCCAGCAAATTCTTTACATTGTGAACACAAAAATATTTTTTTCTCATACACCGAAAACCATTTCAACCTGTAAATTCTCGAGTAGTTGTACATAACATGTTACTTGATATAGAAACTATTTTTCAATCACTAAAGGAGGCCTTAAGAGGATATTTGCGCAGGATTTTTCGTTCTCGTAACATTACGATGTTTCTGTCAACGGTTAACGAGTGGAAAGTTAATGTTAAGAACTAATGTTAAGACTAATTTTGTTTCTGACAACGGGCCCCAGACGTGTGATTTTTGTCCGATATTCGTGCGTTATACTAACCCGCGCTCACTGTACACGCACGCATCCGTGTTGTTATTTTGTTTACGTCATTTCACCTGTGCATTTCTGAACGTAATTGCTAACGCATTAAAACTAACATCCCATTTCGCCAGCTATGTGCGTGCGTGCGTGCGTGCGTGCGTACGCGCGTGCGTGCGCCTGTGTACTCACATACTTTCAAACATAGCTTATTGATCTGTGCTAATCTATTGTGTATATTGTACATCGGCGTACCGAGATATATGATATATGATTCCTAAACCATTGCACGTTTGGCGGCCCAACGCCAAAAAAACATACTACAGCGCGAGATGGTGGGGATACTGGTAAACTATTGACACATACCGTGCTACTATGCTATACCACACCTATATATACCATGCCACACTATACACGCGTATTATAGTATACTGCACCTATACCATACCATTCTTTACATGCACGCATACCATAGTATGCCTTATCATGCCACCATACTGTGCTACACCCGTATCATGATGCACCATACCACACTGCAGTAGTGACTATTAACAGTGGCTTTTATTCATTACTGATACTACACAAATACCATCTGATATCACAATACCTTACTGCACCTATGCCTATCTCTCGGCACAATCAACGCATCATTGTTTCGCTCGCATTCAATCATTCTGTGTGTGTCCGCTGCAGACAGCTTCGCTAGCATTCATAATTCATGCTGCTGATCACGAGAGCCTCTCGTGCAAAAAAAACTCAATCCAGTAGCAGTATCCGCAGCAGCAGTAGCAACAGTAGCAGCAGCGGTAGCGGTAGCAGTAGCAGTAGCAACAGCAGCAGTAGCAGTAGTAGTAGCAGTAGTAGCAGCAGTAGCAGTAGCAGTAGCAGTAGTAGAAGTAGAGCCAGTAACAGCAGCAGCAGCAGTAGCAGCACAGCAGCAGCAGTTAAGCAGCCGCCAGCAGCAGTAACAGCAGTAGCAGTAGCACAGCAGTAGCAAGTAGCAGTAGCAGTAGCAGTAGCAGTAGCAGTAGCAGTAGCAGTAGCAGTAGCAGTAGCAGTAGCAGAGCTAGCAGTAGCAGTAGCAGTAGCAGTAGCAGTAGCAGTAGCCAGTAGCAGTAGCAGTAGCAAGTAGCAGTAGCAGCAGTAGCAGCAGTAGCAGCAGTAGCAGCAGTAGAAGTAGCAGCAGTAACAGCAGCAACGCAGCAGCAGTAACAGCAGCAGCAGCAGTAGAGCAGCAGCAGTAACAGCAGAACGCAGCAGCAGTAACAGCAAGCAGTAGCAGCAGCAGCAGCAGTAGCAGCAGCAGTAGTACCCGCAGTAGTACTAGCAGCAGCAGTAGCAGCAGTAGCAGCAGCAGTAACAGCAGTATCAGCAGTAGTAACAGTAACAGCAGTAGCAGTAACAGTAGTAGAAGTAGCAGCAGTAGCAGTTGCAACAGCAGCAGCAGCAGCAGCAGTAACAGCAGTCGCAGCAGATTTCTTCGTGCGTGCGTCTGATTCCCTCTTCCCCGCCCGCTGGAAAATTCTCCTTCTCCTTCTCATGTTGGTTACATGATGCACACGCAGTCTTTCCACTTAGACGGTAATGTTACGGTTCGTTCAGGTGCCTTCGTTTCATCGGGGTGTGGATTGTATATGTTTGCGGCATTCGTGAGTGCGACACGTTGTTCGATTGATGGTTTGAGAGTACAAGTGTTTGTAGCGTGTGCAACACAACATTGCATCTTAATAATATAACAGTAATTATATATATATCGTGATTATTATTATGTTTGTATATAATAATATCAAAAACTAATAATTCCTCTATAGCTATTATTAGCACTTGATAACATGCTAGGACTTCTCTCTCTCTCTCTCTTCCTTCATCTCGAATTATATAGTTATTAATAGTCAACTAGAAATCTTTCCGGCAGAAACACAGGGTGCTGATCCATAGAAATAATATAGATAACCATGTTAATATAGTTATCTATGTGCTGATCAGTCGGTTTCATCCACAGCTCGATCGTTCCTTCATCGTCAGTGCTCCTTGGCATATGAAGAATGTTCTTGATGAACTTATGAGGTTTAAGCATATGGCTTCACAGCACGGATCCTGGTTGTAATCGGTGAAGGAAGGGGAAGTTATGACGAGCATTCACATTCTGTGTACCGCTTTACCATGGTTCGCACAGTCATTGAAAAGTCCTTTAATTTGAGGGGAGTCCTTGAAAAGTACTTGAATTTAGTAAATGTTGATTTTGTGCTTGAAAAGTCCTTGAATTTCATGAAAATGTCCTTGAATTTAGTAAATGTTGATTTTGTGCTTGAAAAGTCCTTGAATTTCATGAAAATGTCCTTGAATTATTAGAAAGAATCCTTGCCTGTAATAAAAAGAAATTTTGTACCATCAATAATGTGCAAACCTCAATAAAAATTGCGTTAAATGAGCTTAAAAATTAAGCTATAGACACGATAGACAGTTAAATGATGATCACAAATTACAGTAAGTCAGTAAAATCAGTCAGTAAATCAAGGTATGTTGTAGAAGTGACAGTGTTTAGAAGGGTTTATTAATGTGATCCAGGTAAGTTTTAGAGGTGACAGTGATTAATAATGGGGTTATTATTAAATTTATCATTTTAATATGTTTTGTTCTGTGTATGAAATCCGATAAAATGTCCGATAAAATGTCCTTGAATTTCCGATAAAATGTCCTTGAAAAGTCCTTGGAAAAATTTTCTGTCTTTCTGTATAAACCATGTTTACTTATTGCAAGCGTTACATACATGACGTATATGTTATAAGTGAGGTACGATAAAGTTGATATGTAACGAATGTGCCATAGGTAACGGTATAGGGAATAGGCATAGGTGAACATAGGTAACGTGACGTCATGTTGAGTTAGCTTGTCTTCTTATCTTTTCCCGCTCTCTGCAGTCTGAATAAGCGAGCAGAGGCAGCTATTAGATTATGCATGCCATCATTAATTGATGAACGCCCGGCGAGAGAGAATGCTTTAGGGTTTCTCCTCGTGAACATGACTGATAATACAACAAGAACGACGACGATGACGACGACGATGACGATGACGATGACGATGACGATGACGATGACGATGACGATGACGATGACGATGACGATGACGATGATGATGACGATGACTCATAACTTACGTCGACACGCGTCTGCCGTCGGCCGACGTGTCGCCATGCGATAGGTGGCATGTGTGTAGCAGGGTGATAGGAGGCGCACGTGTCGCCATGCGATAGGTGGCATGTGTGTCGCAGAGTGATAGGGGGCGCACGTGTCGCCGTGCGATAGGTGGCGTGTGTGTCGCAGGGTGGTAGGAGGCGCACGTGTCGCCGTGCGATAGGTGGCGTGTGTGTCGCAGGGTGATAGGAGGCGCACGTGTCGCCGTGCGATAGGTGGCGTGTGTGTCGCAGGGTGATAGGGGGCGCACGTGTCGCCGTGCGATAGGTGGCGTGTGTGTCGCAGGGTGGTAGGAGGCGCACGTGTCGCCGTGCGATAGGTGGCGTGTGTGTCGCAGGGTGATAGGAGGCGCACGTGTCGCCGTGCGATAGGTGGCGTGTGTGTCACAGGGTTATAGGGGGCGCACGTGTCGCCGTGTCATAGGTGGCGTGTGTGTCGCAGGGTTATAGGAGGCGCACGTGTCGCCGTGCGATAGGTGGCGTGTGTGTCGCAGGGTGATAGGAGGCGCACGTGTCGCCGTGCGATAGGTGGCGTGTGTGTTGCAGGGTTATAGGGGGCGCACGTGTCGCCGTGTCATAGGTGGCGTGTGTGACGCAGGGTTATAGGGGGCGCACGTGTCGCCGTGCGATAGTGGGCATGCGTGTAACTGTGAATAGAGGGTACGTGCGTTACAGTGTAATAGAGCGCGTGCATGTAACTGCGTATCAGGGAGGGGGTACGTGTTGGCGTGTCATAGAGGGTACGTGCGTTACAGTGTAATAGAGCGCGTGCATGTAACTGCGTATCAGGGAGGGGGTACGTGTTGGCGTGTCATAGAGGGTACGTGCGTCACAGTGTAATAGAGGGCGTGCATGTTACTGTATTAGGGGGGGGTACGTGTTGACGTGCGGTAGAGGGCACGCCTGTCGCGGTGCAATAGAAGACGCCGCACGTCACGGTGCGATAGACGGCGCCGCCATCGTGCCGTCGCCGCCCGTCTGACGTCGGGATCGATCCCTAGCCGTGCTTCGCTTTCATTTTCGTTTCTTCTCCTTTTTTTCGCAGGAGCATCGACTGCCTCATCTTCAAGAACGTGAAGGGATTCATCCTCAACATCCCCACCGACTACAAGTGGGGCATCTTCCGGCTGCCGCTCAAGCGCAAGCACTGGATCTGCCTGCGCGAGATCTGCGGCCTCTACTACAACCTCGACTCGAAGCTCGACCTTCCCGAGCTGATCGGCCGCGAGCCGGAGCTGCGCCGCTACCTGCAGGAGCAGATCAACGCCAAGGACAAGGAGCTGATCCTGGTCGTCAACCGCGACGTCGAGCGCAACAAGACGTGGCGCATTCCCGACCCGGAGTTCTCGACGCCGCGCAAGAGCAATAAGCACGGCGCCGCGCCGGCGACGGCGGGGGGCGGGACGGCGGCCGACGGGACGCCGCAGCGCCGCCGCCACGACTCCGCCTCGCAGCAGCAGTATCGCCATGGCGACCACTCGGCGACGGCGATCGATGCGTAAGGATACTTCTGCTTTATTTTAAATGCATAATGAATTCAGAACTATTATTAGTTCTCTCGGGCAGATATTGGCGCATCGAGTTGTCATGCGTGCGCGCAAGCGCGCGCACGTTTCAGGCGAGGGCAGTACGGCGACTGAAAAAACTTGAATAATATAGGCTTGCGTGAAGGAGGGATGGTGCGAGCTGAGGAAGGGCGTGCTCGGAAGATAGCTGGGGGCGGTAGAAGAGCGAAGGAGGCGAACGAGGACAATGAAGTGTCAACGAGGAAGGACGCGACGGCATAACAGTAAGTGTTTTGTACCCTTAAATGCTGGGGCGCTCGTCCCGAATTATAAACACAGGTCTACTGAAGTTATTAGGGAAATCTATGCTGAGATACCCAACTAATTACCATTTTAATGCATATTCAAAAAAATTCTACCAGAAACCCAACAAAATTAAATTTAAAAACTATCCCCTTTTGCTAGTGAGCCTACTTGCGCATCGCCGCAACACAGGCCAACCGTAGCCCAGATTGTGTACTTGACGTGTATATGTGCAGCTGGTACTCTTACAATGCAAGGTCTCCCCGCCCTATCTTCTCGGGCGATATTGGCATGGCACACACGCCACACACACCCACACACAACACACAGCCGCCCCACACGCGCCACACACACACACACCAAGCTATTCAGCACGCAGCAGCAGCTCACACGAGTGACAAAAAAAACACTCGAAGATAGTATAGCTTGCTGCGGGGGTGAGGGGATGCGGAGACTCGAGGAAAAGGCGGCCAGGGAAGATAGGCTGGTGAGGCGGTAGAAGAAGAAGGACGAGGAGCTGAAGCGCCAGGGAGCACACGCACGGCACGTACGCACACAGGGAGGGGAAGGAAGGCACCCACACGAGGACTAAGAAGCATCAAAGACGATCTATTGCCGTCTAAACAAGCACGGCAGCGGCTACATGCTACATGTATCACAACCACAGGTCTACGATTCGAGAATTTATTTAGCATAAATCTATGCGAGATACGCCAGTACCTCTACGCAACTGCACTACACACAACATACGACATATCCTGAATAAAATATAACTCGCTCTCGTGAGATATTTCGCAATCTCAGCGCTGCATACGGCAACGTACCACGATGGTGTCCTGAGCGTGTATAGTGCAGCGGGACTTACGTGCACAAGCTCATTCTTATACCATATTCTCCCTAAAGAGCAGTGCGCATCTCACTATGGACGAACATTTACCCATATAAATCTATGCTAGGATAACTCCTCTTCATGTGCGACAATCGACGAGTACTCGGACAATGTCTAAACGAGGAGTGTATAAAGCTATGCGCTTTAACGTGAGAACACCAATTCCAGTGTCGCTTGATTTTTTAGACTAGTGGTGTCTTTGCACACATCGCGCAGTGTCTATCTACGAACAGCACGCCACGCACGCAACTGCACGCACGCAACAGCGGACGCACGCACGCACGCACGCGCGGCACGCAGAGCAGCCAGAGTACGAAACGACATCATCACACACGCACCGCACACCACAGATACGCACGCACACGACGTACGTGCGCAGACAGTCACAATGTGTGACAGTTGTCACGTGTACAGTCTTCGAGTGTGACAGTCGTCAGGTGTGACAGTCGTCAGGTGTGACAGTCGTCAGGTGTGACAGTCGTCCAGGTGTGACAGTCGTCAGGTGTGACAGTCGTCAGGTGTGACATGTCGTCGCTTGCATGCTACCACATGATCGTTCACCAGAAACATAATTAACATACGTCACAAGCACGCGCGCATGCACGCACGCTCGGAATACGCACGTACGCACGCTAGCAGCAACGCACGCACGGACATGCACGGCACTCGAACCCTCAGCACCAGACACAGCACACACATCCCAACTCGACCACGACGCACGACACACACACACACAACCCCCTCTACAACATACATACGACAATACTCAGGCTACCCAACACACACTCATCATACATAACTCAGCTGTGGCGGTCAATTGCGGAGAACAACAGGCGTGTGTAACTACGTCGAAGTGCGCTAGTAATGCGCACTCGATGAGCGCCTTCAGCAAATCAGCCATGACATAACCCTAAGCAATTCGCCGAGACATCATGAGCGAACTCACACGTCGATGGCACAGGCATCCAGCAGCAGCGAGACACACACCGCAAGCAGGAACAGCACGCGAAGCACCACACGCAAAGCAGGCACGCACGGACGTAACGACGCAGACCATGTAGAGATATCACGACAGAATAACACGTGAGAGAGGCTGGCCCTCCTGCTGGAACTTGCGTCCTCAGGTAGTGGAGAGGATGAGTGGCAGAGCAGCAGGTGGAGCAAGCTGGTGGTGAGTCTTGGCGGTAGCGAGTGCTCTTATACGCGAGCACGCTCGTGCTTGGCTGCGTAACTTCGCCTACATGCGAGCGTGGCGCGCGCTCGCTTGCCCGAGAGCGTGCGTGCAGTGCGTGCGTGCACGGCTCGTGGCGGAAACGGGGCGCTATGCACCGGTCCGGTCGCACGCAGACTCGTGTAAGCGACGCAGGAAGGCGTGTGGCTGAGCCTATGCGGCTGTGCAAGCCCGGATCACTGCGCCCGCCGCGCAGGTCCGTCCCGGCCACAGCGCGCACGGCCAGCGTCGACGTGCGCATCAGCGTCGCCGGTGCGAGAGCGTTGCGTGCATGCGATGTGTCCACGCGCTACGCACTAGCCGAGGCAACGCGGGGCTGTGCATGAGCGTATCGTGCGGTCGTGCGAGAGCGGCCGTGCGATGCATGGCGTTGTGTGCGTTCGATCGTTTTCTCACAACCACGGCCGTTACGCAGGACGCAGAGCGTCTCGGCACTGCAGCCGCAATGTCATTTCCACGGCGCGTTCTCCTTCTGCGCTGACAGGCCGAGTGTGTGCTGACATGTTTTGTTTGCGTAATAGATTCTATTTCCGCTTATTTTCGAAGTAGCTGAGTGATAATTCTTGGCTTTCTTACCGGCCAGACTCTGCTGCTGGCTGCTGCTGCTGACTGGCTTTGTGGATGTCGATACGACAGTTGGCTCGCCATGACGACGAGATGAACAGAGAACAGATTGGTTATAACTAATGCGCGAATTTTGTGCTGACTAATGCAGCAATGAATCAAAAAGCAATGGCACTTGACAAAGACGACGCACGACGGCGACCTTCCCGCCGCCGCCTCGGCGCGCCGTCGGCCGCCTCGGCTCTCTTCTGCGGCGTCGAGAGCGGTGTCCTGCTCTTCTGCTGCTGGCTGCTTGCTGCTGCTGGGAATGCTCGTCTCCCTGCCGTGCTGCGGCGTCGTCCGCGGGCGTCCGTGATTTGTTCGGCGTCACCGGACGAGCCACTGCGGCGGCGCCCACCGCGCGACGCGCCACCACGGCGTCGCCGCGCGCCGTTGTTGCGCGAACCTCACGGGCGCTCGCCGCCCAGAGTGCCGAGCCGCGCCCCGCACCGCGCGTCCTGCCTTTCACCGGGC